CCTGGCTCTCACCTCTATCCAAGCAACGTATTGTGTAGCCATTTCCTTGTGAGGTATAACAAAACAGCCCTGATGGAAAGTTTATTGAAATCTAGTAAATTCTAAAGATTCAGAGAGTTCTGAGGGAAGGCTCTTTAAGACTCCAAAAGATCTAAAGGGAGGCTCAGTAAGACTCGGGAAATACACAATTCAGAATTCTCAGGAAGTCCCTGAAACTGACCAGATATGTAAGGCTCTCAAGGTTATATAAGAAGGATGAACTGCTGTGGAGGTTCAGACTGGTGGAGTTGCCTGGCAGACACTGTGATCTATGGAGTTTCTTGCAAGTTGTGCAGCGAGCTCCAGAGACCCCACCTTCATGAGCCATCATCCACGTCCTGATGCAGCTGCCTTTGAGTTGTCCTTCCTTCTCCTGTAAATGACCCCTCACCCATACTCGTGCAAGTAACCCCAGTAAACTCATTGGTTCACCAAGTTGGACTAAAGCAGTCTCCTTGGTTTGGTTTGTTTCCTACTGGGACCAGTTAGGTATTTGTTCACAACGTATCATACGAGGTCCTCTACTAGCCTAGGGAAAACCTCACAACACAGCCTCCATGCAGCACTGCCCATGCTCTTGCTCACCCTTCGCCCTCACTGGGATTTCCCTTTTCTGTGCTCACCTCTGTTCCCCTGCCCTTCTGTTCTCTACATGGCACTTTGTGACTGTTGTCCCTTCCCAGCCTCTTAGTTGGGGTCCTCAGGTCCCTTCCCTACTTTCCATCTGATCCCCTGGGATTGCTCATCTCTGCCTTTAGTTTCCACAAGTGATTCCCAAATCCCTTCTTCCAGTGCCACCTCTCCAGGAGCTACAGGAATGCATGTGTCTGTGAAGAACAGCTCCACATGGATGCGCCCAAGTTCCTGACATCCTGTTTGATGGAATCTCTCTTCTCCAGCTTCCTTCAGGCTGCAGGGCTCCTCACCCCAGGGGTCAGAGGATGTCCTTTTATCCATGTTCCCTCCTGCCACCTTCACCTCTGCCATCACTAGCTTTTGAATGAGCTCTTGTCACTTTTAGTCTGTAACCTGTGTCTCAATCTTTCTGGGTCTGGGTTTTCTTAACTGCAATGTGCAGTACTTACAGAGAAATACTGTATATAACCATAACCATATGACATAGTATGTAAAATGTACAGTCTATGGCTCTGAGAGGTGTCTGGAGGGTTACATGACAGTGTGTGTGAAGGGCCTGGCACACACTGAGTGCTGCTCAGCTCAGCAAAACAGCAGCTGGGTTGACCTTGTTGTCTCTGCTCTTCCTGCTTGCCCAGCTCAAGCACCACCCATCACGTCCTTTGCTGTTGACAGCAGCTTCCCCACAACTCCTGGTTCCCTTTCTGAACTCACTCCAGGCCAGAATACCACTCTAAATTTCAGGTCTTCCCCTTATTCCTCCATCCTGCATAGGCCAATGGTAGCCCCTAGTCATAGCTGCTCAAAGTTGGGCTCCACTTCGGGTCTGTGAAGCCATGAGGTCTGAGCCCTGCTTTCTCAGTTTTCCTTGTTCCCAAACCCCACTCCTCAGCTCGGAACGCATCATTCTCAGGAACCTCACTATCTCTGCTCCTCATGTGTCCTTCTTTTGACAAGGAACACCCTCACCACCACCCAATACTTGCCCTTTACTGAGTGCCTGGAAAGTGGCCTACACCTCCTGCTGCCTCTGCATTATCGGCAGGCAACTGACAGAAGGTAACACCCCAAAGGACTTCTGGGTAGCAAGCTGAGCGCTGAGAGTGTTCCCCCATCTGTCCACAATGTTAGGGGTACCCTCTAGGTTAGGAATTATGTCATGCTCATTTACAACAATCCAACAGCCACACAGATGGCTGAAGGATAGAAGAAACGCAAGCATAAACGGAAAGTAAAAGCTGGGGCTGGGGCTCAGCTGGCAGAATACTGGCCTAGCATGCACAAAAACCCTGAGTTTGATTCCTAGTGCTGCATATACTGGGCCAGGAATCACAGGCTGGTATTTCTAGCACCTGGGAAACGGAGGTAGGAGACTCGATAATGTAAGTTCATCCTCAGCAACATAATTAGAGGCCAGTCTGGGCTACCTGAGGCCCAGTATAAAAAAGGAAAAACTGGGCTGGTAGGTTACAAGCTCAATCCTACCACTATTAGATCACTTGCCTAGCATTTTGAGGCCCTAGACTCAGTCTCTAGGACTTTATCCAGATAAAAACAAAACAAAATAAAAACCTTCAAAAGTCTAATAAAAATATAAATGGGGAGGGAAAGGAAATGAAGAGAAGGGAGCTAGAGGCAGGGGGCAAGAAAAGGGAGAGAAACTGAAGGACAAACAGGCCTGGGACCCTGAGACTGGGGGTTCAGCTACCTGTGCCTGCTTTGACTCAGGGTCCTGGGAGCTGGGCCTGCTCCTCCACAAGGCTCTACTGCAGGCTTCTAAACAGGAGATGGCTGGGCATAGCAGGCGGTGTTCTGAAATCAGCCACAGTATTTATGATTTAGATATCAGTAAACATTTACAGTCAGCTCCCACCCACTCTGCTTGTTTTGTTTTTTCCCAAGACAGGGTCTCACTTTACAACCATGGCTGGTCTAGAACTCTTTATGTAGCCAAGGTGGTTTTGAACTCCTAATCCCCCTGCCCCCTCACCCCCAAAAGTGCTGGGGTTACAGCTGTGTATATCTGGTTTCAATCTGGTCATTACACATTCACCAGGACTTCGGTGTGTGTCTTCCTCCTCTGCAGTTTCAGAGAGACCAACTCCAAGGAAAGCTCCACTCCCACCCCAACTCCTACTATGCCTTCTCAGTAGCTTGTCTTTCCCTCAGAACTTAGATGCTACCCAATGTTCTTCCCTCAGACAACCAAACTTGCTGAAGCCTCTGAACTCCCACTCCCTCTGCCCCCATCCCCTCTCCTTCCAGTCAGATACATTTTCCTGGTATGGGCCTGGCCAAACACAGAAGTTACTAGGGCAGTTTCCTTGGACCTGGGGGCAAAAACAGTGTCCATCTCCATGCCCTCTGGGAGGCAGGTCCCAGTGGCTTCCACCTGTAGAAGACCTCTGCCTGGACCTCAGTAACATTCCCTCCCTGCTCCCTCCTAATCTCAATGCCTTGCAGAAGCAATTTTTAATTTTTTAAAAGATGGTGTCTCAACAAGTAGCCCAGGTTGGCCTCTATCTAACTCATAAATCTTCCTGCCTCAAGAGTGCTGGGTTTGTAGGCATGTGAACAACTTCTTGACCTGTTCTTGAGTGCTGGGTTTGCAGGTGTGTGAACTTCTTCCTGACCTGTTCTTAGAGCCCCCCTCGGCTTCATCTTTGCCCTTTCCTACCATATGGACCTCATCCTTTAGGTTCAATCCATTCACGACAGCTCTCAGTTTCCTTCTCCAGCCTATGCTTTATCAATCCCCCACCTCTTGGCAGTTTCAAAAGCACTCAACTCAGAATGCTTGAGCTCAGTAGAACCTGTGATGGTCTCTTCTGGTCCTCTCTGTTGGTAGCTGCCTAGCTCACACACACACCCATCAGGGAGAGTCAGAGGCGTCTGGCTTCTCCCTTTCCTTCCCTGTGGAGCATGCTGACCCCATTGCTAAGTTTTACTGATACATCGACTACCTCTTATCATCTTTACTCTATTCTCACACTTCCCCACTGGGACCTGGGGTGATTACTTTAGAATGGCATTACTTGACATGTCTCTGATGCCCCAAACATGTCACTGAATTACAGTAACTCTTGCCTTGGTAAGAAACACATGTAGGCCACAACCTTCCCTACCTAGCCCCATCTCTTATCTCCTGGTGCTGTCCACTGGTTATTGTCACCCACCTTCTCAGAGCTCCTGGACAAGCCTCCCTTACTAGGGTCTCCTCTCCCTGGGGTGCTACTAGCCCCACCTATGTTTGCACCCATCCTGAACTCAGCATGGATGCCACTTCTTGATCTATGATACTCTCCTGTTGGGTGTTCCTTTACAACAGAAGAGCCTGTCATTATCTGTGTGTAACTAACTGTCCTCTCAACCATGAACTCCACAGGGTCCACTCTGCTACCTGCCAGAAGCATCCAGCAGTCTACCCTCAGCAGGTATTTGGACATTTGCAGTTGAATGACTAATCTGTCTGCTTTTCACAAAAATCAGCCTGAAGGGTGTGCAAAGGGCAGCTTAGTGGGGAAAGTTGTTGCATTGGGAGGGACTGGAACACAGTGGGCCTGGGGAGGTACACAGAAGACATGCTTCAAGCCAAAACTCGTTGGTCTAAGGTCCTGCAGGCTGGAGGAGGAGGGCCAGGACCATGATGGGATAAGGGGAACCTCCCTACTTATCTCTACTGAATCAAGTCTCTCCTACCCACCAGGGTTCTACCGCCCTTGCACAACTTGGGGGGAAGAAAAGCCCAAGCTGGTTCTCATTCTCCATTTGTCTACCCCAGTTGGGGCATAAGGAAGGTGCCTGAATCCATGCAAAGCCCAGGAAAGCCAGGGCTTGGCACACAGTAGGGTGAGGAAAAGCAAAGCTGTCACATGTTAGATGAAATGTGAGAATCCCCAGCAGCTCCCCTTCCGTCACCCTTGAGGTCAGTATCTTCTGAGGCTCTTTATCTGGGCTCTTGCCCCAGGGCCACATCCCCATCTGGGCAGGCCTGGACTTCCAATTCTTTGTGCTTCCGGCCTGGACAGCATGGCAGGAGAAGCAGCCAGAATTCCCAGGCAGCATCCCATGGACTGGTCCCAGAGCCCAAGGCTGCCCAGGTGCTGGGCTCAGGTGGTAGCTGATAGGAATGGACAGGCGGTGAGCACTCCCCCATGGGCAGACACAGGACACTGGCTCGTGCAGCTGACACAAAGAGGCGGCTACATCTTCTAGCCATGCTTCCCTCTCAGCCCCACTCACAGAGACAGGGGGGATGGACAAGATGGCATGGGAAGACGACTGTGCAGACAGGAAGGCTCGGCGGAGAAAGCGCCGAGGCTGGGTGGCGGTGTCCTCATGGGAGTGGTTTATTACGATTCCAACTCACAAGGCGGTGGGTGAGCGGCCACAGCACAGACGCCTGCCTCGGGCACATGCAAACAGTGCAACATGGTCAAGCGCAAACAGAGGCGACCGAGGCAACACTGGACATGGAACACGGGATGGGGAACAGGCTGGGGTGATCGGTCCCTAGAGAGAGGCTGATTCCTCCCCGACCCCCAGGGGCAGGACAGGAAAAATAAGATTCGTACTTCTTGTAAAATGCCCATTTGCTGGGTACTTTCTTTCTCCTTATGTTGAAAAATAATAAAAAATAAACACACGGAAAAAAATCTCAAAAAAGGAAAGGAATAAAACTCTAAGAAGGCGAGTGATGGGAGGCCAAGAGAAGGCTGACCACAGTGGGGGCACTGCCTCCCGCTCCTTGTCCTCCTCCCTCCTTAGCCCCTTCAGTGAGTGCCCCAAGCCCTATAGGTGGGTGGGTCCATAAGAGATGCCAGGCCTAGGTGGGGTCCCTGGGGGGCCAGAAGGGACAGGCAGGTCAGAGGCAGGAGGCCTACCAGCCCACTGGGGCTCAGTTCAAGTTCAGGCCCAGTGGGCAGCAGGCACCAGATCTGTGATCTTCTAGGCCTTGTCCTTACAGGCCCAGGGCCTAGGCGGAGGCAGAGGTCACAGGTGCAGCTCATGGGTTCTGATGTGCTCCAGCTGCTCTCGAAGCTGCAGGAAGGTGGGCCGTGTGGCAGCATCCAGGTGCCAGCAGTTCTTCATAACCTCGTAGACTGCGGGTGGGCAGCCGTCCGGGGCATCCATCTTATAGCCCTTTTCCACCCGAGGGACGACGTCCTTCAGGGGCTGTGAGCAGGTGGCATGAGTTTGGTGCCTTACAAGAGAAGGGAGCCCTACCCACATTCCCTCTCTAGGAAGGGCCTTCAGCCCTGCCTCAGGCCGGACAGACCCGAGGTACGAGGCAGTTACCAATGGATGCTACTCTTGCCACCCGCCATCACTTTCAGCAACGCACTGGCTCCCAGACCCATACTCACAATTCTTGGGTAAGGCACTCGCCCAAAGGAATAGATTTCCCAGAGAAGGATTCCGAAACTCCACACATCAGACTTGGTGGAAAATTTCTGCCATGTGCATAAGATAATCAGCCTTGATTTTAGGAAGCTCAGGAGAGGGGATAATGACTCTAGGACCCTTGCTCACCTTCTCTCTCAAGGCTTCCGGAGCTGTCCACTTGACGGGCAGTTTGCCTGTGTCCTGAGTGCTGGAGGCTTCCTTGGTGAGGCCAAAGTCACTGACTTTGGCCACGTTGTCCTCGGACACCAGTACATTCCGGGCAGCCAAGTCCCGATGTACAAAATTGTTGCCTTCCAGGTATTCCATGGCCTCACAGACGTCTCTGAGGACAGGACAGCCACATGCCCCTCAGACTGGGGCTCCCATAGCAGGGCAGGGGTCTCCTTCAAGTTCTTAGTCCCACCCCAGGCTGCATCACTCACAGTGAGAATTTGAGGAGACAGTCTCCGCCTAGCACCGAACGACCACGTGATCGAAGATAGTCCACCAAACTCCCCTGGGGGGGCAGGGCAGAAAGGGACGTGAGGAAAGGGAACAGGGGACATCCAGAACACTTAGGAAACAGTGGCTTGGAGAGGGCACGACTTGTCCCTCAGTAAGTAAGTGACTGGCCAGGATTGGCAACTTCAAAGCTCAGTGGGGACAAAGTGGAGGGGCTGGGAGGAGGGAGAGGTGAGGCTGAGGAGAACCCACCTTGGCCATGTACTCTGTGACAATGTAGAGCCCACCCTTCTCCTCCACAATCACACCCAGTAGCTGGACCAGGTTGCTGTGCCGAAGTTGCCTGGACGAGGCGGGACAGAGTAGTCAGCCAGAGTTCAGAGTTCAGTCAGCCAGCCTCCCCCGTTCCACCCAGGCCCCAGGCAACCTGCCCTTATGCTTGTCTCAACTTACGTCATGACAGAGGCTTCAGCCAGGAAGGCCTGGGCAGTGGCATCATTCTTAATGCATTTAACTGCAACTTTGTTGCCCCGATAATCACCCAGCATCACGTCTGGAGGAAGAAGGGAGGGATGCGGTTTCCTGGACACCCGAAGCTTCTCAGACCCTCCCGGGGCTCCCTCAACTTACCTCCAAACTCCCCCTTCCCAATCGTCTGTAGCAGCTTCAGTTCCTTCATGTTCAGGGCCCAGCCACCTGTGGGGTGGGGGCAGAAAAGCAGTGTGTCAGTGAGGTGAACAGAGAGTTGAGGCCGTTTGAGATGGCAGGCACAGGCCAAACTGCTTTAGATGTGGGATGTCTGATGTCTCCAAACCACCAGGGTAGGCCAGTGGAAATGTAGTTAGTGTACTTACTGCGGTAGAATTCATCTTGGGCGGCCACTGTGCCCTCCATGACCTTTGGTTTGATGAGGCGAGTGCAGAGTCCATCGGCATCTGTGGTGTAGTGCTGCAGAGAGAGGGGGAGGGCAGGCCCTCAGAACCAGACCCGCTGGCCCCATTTTTCATAGACTCACGGGCTGCTCAGGTCTGACCACCAGGGGGCAGCAGAGGCCAGTTCACGAAGCCTCGAGCTGCTTTGTGTGAAAGGTTCCTCATTTCAAAAGGGTGGGAATGCCTGTCCATTTCCTGTGTCACCCCACCCACATCAGCTACTGGACTCCCAATTGTCACTACTGCTGTGGGCCTGACCAGCATCTTAAGGTAAACAGCAAAGCCTGGCCTGCTCCCTGCACCAGCATCCAGCCAGGTGTCCTCGGCCAATGTAAACCAGAGACAGGATGAGAGTGAGCTTGGAGGGAACCTACAGTTTTCTGTTGCCAAGTATGGCCTGGTCAGAGCTGACAGAGCTGGTGTCGGAAGCTGCAAGGACCTGTGGGTGTGCAAAGGCCTGAAGGACCCTGGTGGCCAGGGCACACACACGAGGAGGTTCGAGTGGAAGAGGAATTGAGTTCTGGATCAGATAGCCTCAAAGTCTAGTGGCACCTCCAACGTACAGAGAGAGGAGAGACTTTCACTGATCAGAACTTTGTGTCCTTATCTATAAAACGGGCCCTTGTTGGGGTACTATGGGCCCTGGCACATAGCAGGTGCTCCACTGGGGTGTGCTGTCAACGTGTCCAGGTTACTCTGCCAGGTGACTTGGTGCTGGGTTTGTGTGAAATGTCCTCAGGTGGACTCAGGTGTGTCTGAGTGTGGGCAGAAGGGGGAGCACCCCTACTCACCTCCACCAGCTGCATGAGGTTCTCGAAGTACACCTCCTCATCGATGCTCAACTTGCTCGCATGGTACATGATGCGGTAGTGTTCCACCTTGCCTTCACAGCTCACACACAGTGTGTAGTCCCCAGGGTAGTTGGTGCTTTCCCTCACCAGGAACAGGCCCGTCTCTGGTGGGTAGAGAAGCCGCTCGGCCTGCTCCCGTGTGATTTTGCCATGGAACCAGCTAGGGGGTGGCAAGGCTTTGGGTCACAATGGCACTGACCCCAGTGCCTCCTGCCAGCCCCCCACATGCGCTTTCCCACTGCTTCCAATCAGCCAGGGCACCATCTTCTCCCTGTCCCCTTTTCTTCTGCTGGGTGCCTATTCCCTCTGTTAGGTGCAACCTCTTGTTCCATTCCTACAACGCCTCTTACTCAGGGTTGTTTTCCTCTCTTCTCCCCAAACCAGGAGACTCCAGCCCTCCTCCTGGTACTCACGGCATAAGGCTGAGTTTGGTGCCTGCCTTCACACCCTCACGCTTCTGGACATAGTTGGCTGGGATGATGCCCTCACGGCCCACTTTGTTTTTGGCTTTGTACCAGTTTGGGTCCTGGAGAGAGGGCAACCAGACACACTCTCAGGTCTACCTCCCTCTGCTGGGGAGCCAAACCCAGAGGGAATCCCTGGAGGTGAAAGAATGGGATAGGCATCTAAGGTCCACAGTACCTTAGTGACCGCCACAATGGTGAGCACGTCTCCTTTGCAGAAGGGCAGGTCTTGCTCAGCAGTGCCATGGAAGTTGTACTTGGCAATACATTCTGTACCGGATGGCCAGGCGGCCTACAAGGTAAGGGACAGGTATGGGGGTGCTGCCTGGGGCCCTTCTCTACCCCTCTGCCCGAATGCCCTTGAGACCAAAGCATCTTAGCTGATATCCATGAGTTTGGGGTAAGAGAATGCCCAGTCCCTTCCAGCTCAAATTGCTCTGCAGCCCAGTCTGGGGCCCTGTGCCCAATAGAGCACACTGGAATTACCGTTGCTTCAAAGTCTTGACTAGCATGGAGGGTTGGGAATGGGGAATAGGCTGGTCTAAGCACCCACTCTTTTTCCAGATGTGGGATTGCCTCATCTGTCCCCACCACAACCCCATGGTACCTGTATTGCCGACATCTTCTTAGATCTGGCGTCCCCGTGCTACAGGAAGGCCAATCCGTTACTTGGTACCATTAGAGCTGTGGGAGAGGAGACAAGCTGAGGAAGGCTGAGAAGAGACGACCCCACCCTCTGTGGGTGATCATCAGTTCCTTCAAGGCAGTACAAGCCACAGTGCCAAAGCTTCTGAGAGTTGGTACATGGATCCAGGGCTGCCCCCCCCCCCAATAGGGTTTCTCTGAATTGTTTTGGAGTCTGTCCTGGAACTTGCTCTGTAGACCAGGATGGCCTCAAACTCACAGAGATCCGCCTGCCCCTGCCTCCCGAGTGCAGTGATTAAAGGCATGCACCACCAACGCCCGGCTCCAGGGCTGTTCTATCTAGCCTTGGGTAGAAGCACACAGACTCAAGAGTCCCAGGGAGGCCTTGAGGATTGTCAGGGAAAGGGAGTCTAGGGAAACTCTGAAACCAGGCAGGTGATGAGTGGTCCAGGAAAGTCACTTGTTAGACAAGGTCACAGGCTTGTCCCAGAGACTGTATAGACAAATATCTGTGCTTATTTCTTGGCACACACCCAAAAGAAAGTAGCCCATGTCCTCCAGGAGAGGGGTAGGTGCTCTCTCATGGTGTGCTCTGTAGTAAATCTCAGACCAAGAGCTAACTGCCCAGGTACTGAAAATGAAGTGGATAAAATAGGGAGAAGTCACAAGATGGAATTCCATACAGCGGTGGCATGGCCCATGTCAGCCACCTATCAGCCTTGGATTCTCACCAAGGAGCTAGGCACAGAGAAGCACAAGCTTTGTGATTCTCTTTGTATCAAGTTTAAAACTGGATCAAACCAATCCAGGCTTGTCAGGATGAATCTCTGCAGAGGAAAGAACTGGACAGGGTGTGAGGGGGCTTCAAGGTGTCAGCTATGGGGGCTGTCTGAGCCCCCTTGCAAGAGAGGGTTTGCTCCAGAGAAACTTGCTGGGTGTAGCCTGAGAGCTGGTGCTCTTCTGGATTTATGTGCACTTTTGTAAATGGAATTCCTCAGAACACTCCCCCAGAGCAGCAAGCATGTCTTCACACACACACACACACACACACATATATGTCACCAACACATTCAGTCCAAATACAGCCCCAGACCTCAGATAACCTCAGAAGGACTCAGGCAGAGTGGGGCTACTGTTCTCTTTCTGGTGAGGGAACAGCCAATGGCCCTCTGAGCCAGCTTTCCAAGCCCCAGGCAATTTAGTTAGCAAAACTACATCATTGTCATTGTTTCTTAGTCCCAAATTTCTGTGGTCACAGGGCTAGATGACAGATGCACTTGGGATGGGAGAGGTGAGGTCTAGCCATTGCACTTATGGCGGCTATGTACACCACTGCTAGAAGAGGACTTTCAGTGTAGGTGCTGGTACATGTGTGTGCATGTGCATGCATACCTGCACGTACACATATATGCAGGAATCATGAGAACTGAGCCCTGAACACTGGAAGACTTCAGAAGGTGGGAGCCAGAGATTGATCTTAGTGGATAGTAGTTGCTCAGAGTGCTCAAGACTCTGGGTTCAAACCCTAGCATAAGGTGTCTATGTTTCAAATTCATGAGCAATTGAGCAAATAAAAATTGATATAAAAAGATATTTATTAGAAAAGCAGATGGTAGATAGTGAGGCAGAGGGATGCCTAGTTGGAGGCCAGCCTGAGCTACATGGTTAAGACCTTGTTTTTAAAAGAGGATGGGCCAGAAAAAGGATCATAGAAAAGCTTAGTTTATTAGCCAGTCCTAGCCAAGGTGTTGGAGTAGAAGGTAGGCACAGCTGCAAGAACTGGTCTGGGGAGCTGGAGAGATGGCTCAGTGGTTAAGAGCATTGGCTGCTCTTCCAGAAGACCTGGGTTTCAATTCCCAGAACCCACATAGCAGCTCAAACTGTAATTCCAGTTCTAGGGGTACTGACACCCTCACACAGACACATGCACACAAAACATCAATGGGCATAAAAATTAAAAAAATAAGAACCGGCCTGAGTGGAAGCTAGTGAAGCAAAGTGGAACCAACTGCCCCTTTGGGACTCTGTGACCCTGAACTTGCTGAGCCCATACAGAGCACTCTTGTCTGTCTGCTATATGAGAAGGGTTCCAGAGGCCATGGTATGAACCCTGCAGGGTGGCAAGGAGATCCCATGGAACTTCGGAGGACTACGGTTGGCCCCTGGGAACCTTTTCGGGGAGCACATGCTCCCAGAGTTCAGCAGAAGCAAGGGTGAAGGATATGTGCTGGTAATAGGGGGGTGGTGGTGTTTGACCAGCACTCCCAAGCTAGACAGACTTGGGCTTTGAACCTGGCTTTATCAGCATGCCAACCTGGAGAGAATGAACCAACTCTTTGGGCCTCATATCCCCTCGTCCTGAAAGGGGACACACTGGACCTTGACAAGGAGGCTATGGAGGGAATGGAATGAGACCCCAGAATTGGACAAGTCTGGCATGCTTCCTGCTCCCTCCAGAACAAATAGTCCTTCTTGCACCCAGAGGCAAGGGCAGCCCATTAAGCCTGCTGTCTAGACTGGGCCCCTGAAGCCCAGGGAGAGTGTGATAGGAACCACCCCCTCACACCCCATATTTCCATGACTGAGCCAGCATAAGCATAAGAACCAGCTCCTGGGCCTTGTGGACTACCTGCTGTGGGAGAGCTGTGAGACTTCCTTCCCTGTGACAGGAGTGAAAACCAAGGTCCAAGAGGTTACCCAAGACCACACAGCCTGCCTGAGTGTGAGCTAGTGTCCCACTGCTGCTGCTGAGCCCCCAACCTTAGGGCCCTTCTATGGAGATCATATTAGCTCACCCGCTCTTCACACCTCCTCCTCCCTCCCCAAATTCAAAACTCACTGCTGCCACCACAGGAGGGAGCGGAGGCTGGGCATGGTTAGTCACCCTTCCAGCTGTCAGTTTGCAAACACTCCTTCCTGGCCTGCAGCTGCCGCCGTGCCACCTCCCTGCTGCCTTGATGATAATAATAAAAATAATCACAGGCCCTGTTTTCTGAGCACTTACTCAGTGGCAGGACTTATCCTTGGCACTTCACGGCTCATCCAATCCTAATGACACTGAGAAACAGGGGCTATTATTACCAACCCCATTATACAGATGAGGCCCCAAGAGAAGCCCTGAGGACTGTGAGACCTTGCCTGAGGTCACAGCTCCAGTGAGATTCACCTTCAGACTCCTGAGTTCCTTGGCCAGGACTCCCTCCTGGTAGCCTGTTTCTCACATACCACATTATACCCCCAGGAACTGCTGTCTGTCTGGGACTACTCTAGTCTGGGGCAGATAGGGTGAAGAGCAGCCACAGGGACAAGGATGTGCTTAAGGGGATGGGACAAGGCAGCAATGGTCAGGTATGCTGCCTAGAGGGGCACTGCTGTCCTCGAAGCATGTCTTACCAGACACCTTCCAACCTGTCACTTACGGTGAGGTCACCAGGCTAGGATGGCTGAGCAGCTGCAGTGTCCCAGCTAGGGCTGAGGCTGACAGCCAGAGTGGCTTCAAGAGGCTACTTACTGCAGGCCACCTTCCAAGTAGCACAGAAGATAGTCCTTTGGGGGAATCACCTGAATTTAGGGCCAAGTCACTCTAGGAAGGCAGTGCAGGACCACAGTCCTGGGAGGAAATGACGCTGAGTCCTGGCCCTAACTTGCTGTGCAACCTTTGGGAAGTCACTGGAGCTTCCCATATGTTCTGGCTTCTAAGCACCTTATCTGTCCCTTTTTCTCACATCTATTCCCAGACACATGCACTCTGCTCACTTACTTGCCTTCTCCCTTCATCCAGGGAATCTTTGTGTAGCCTTGAGGTACAGATGGGGGCTGCTACTGTTGTACAAACAAAAGAGCAAAATACAATAGGAGCCCCTCTTTGTGGTGGCAAGAGATGGGGAGAGATTACACATCTGAAGCCAGACTGGGCTACACAGTGAGATCTTGTCTTAAAAAACAAAACATCTTTAATCCCAGCACTTGGGAGGCAGAGGCAGGCAGATCTGTGAGTTCCAGGGCAACCTTGTCTACAAAGCAAGTTCCAGGGCAGCCAGGGTTACACAGAGAAACACTGTCAAAATACCAAAATGAAAACAAACCAAATGAACAAACAGAAGGACCTAAAGAGACAGTTCAGTGAGTAAAGTGTTTGCTGTGAAGACCCGTGTTTGGTCCCAAGCACCCACATAAGTCCAACGTTGGTGGCACGTGCTTGTAACCCCAATGCTGGGAAGGCAGAGGCACTGGTTGGCTTGCCTGCCTAACCTATCAAGCAAGTCCCAGGATGCAGTGAGAGACCCTACCTCAAGAACACAGTAAACAGCTCCTGAGGAATGACCCATGGTTGACCTCTGGCTTTCACATGTGTGCATACACGTGTACTCACACATGAACACAAACATAATTACATAACTCCCTACACACACACACACACACACACACACACACACACACACACACACACATACACACACTAAAAGACCAAACTCACCAGAGTAAGGGATAGGATGCCTAAAACTAGCCAAAGAGGTTAGTAAAGCAACTTGTGATGCACATGGCACCCTAGGTTCCAATCTCCCAGTGATGCAATAAAAACAAAACAAAACAAAGGAAGGCTGGCAAGATGGCTCAATGGTAAAGACACTTGCAGACAAACCTGACAGCTTGAGTTCCATGCTTGGAAGGAGAATGAACTCTACAAGTTGTTCTCTGACCCCCACAGGACATACACTGTGCCATGTTTGATGTGTGCACACTCATGTACTCACACACACACCAAAAAAAAAAAAAAAAAATTAAACTAGCATTTGGGAGGCAGAGGCAGAGGCAGGAGGATCTCTGTGTGTTCCAGGATGGGCTCCAAAGCTACAGAGAAACCCTGTCTCAAAAAACAAAACAAGGGCTGGAGAGATGGCTCAGAGGTTAAGAGCACTGACTTCTCTTCCAGAGGTCCTGAGTTCAATTCCTAGCAACCACATGAAGGCTCACAACCATTTGTTATGAGATTTGGTGCCCTCTTCTGGAAGCAGAATGTTGTATACATAATAAATAAA